AMCMAMMMMAWYCCMMMAACATTCGGAGYGTTAAGGAACTCCRGACGAATCCCATCCACCCCCRGCATCTTGCCAYCAAGGAGCTTTTTAACCACCTCAGTGACCTCGGCMCCAGAGATGGGAGAGTCTGACCCAGGGTCCCCAGGCTCTGCTTCCTCACTGGAAGATGTGCTGATGGGCTTGATGTGGTCTTCGAAGTATTCTGCCCATCGACCAACAACATACCAAGTTGAAGTCAGCAACGCACCATCCCACCATAAACAGTGTTGGTGGTGAACCACTTTCCCCCTGAGATGCTGGATGGTGGACCAGAATCGCCTCGAAGTTGTCTTTTTCCATGGCCTTTCCGAATTACTCCCATGCCCGAGTTTTTTGCCTCAGTGACCACTCGAGCCGCAATCCGTTAGGACTGACAATACCTATCGGCTGCTTCAGCAATTTGTGTATTTATTTCTATGAAAGGCGCTACATGGATAAAATTTTACTTATACCGATAGTCCTCTTTCTGGTTTTAGAAAAAAAACATTCTACTGAAACTGTTTGCTGTTATCTACTAGAAGAGATAAAATCTAGCCTAGAYGGTAGAGGAGTGGTAGGAGCGGTCTTCCTTGACTTGTGTAAGGCTTTTGATACTGTAAACCATAAATTATTAATAATCAAATTCTCTTAACATACAAATACACAAAATTGGAAAAAAAATCTTATCTTAGTGACAGACAGCAGTGTATAATGGTTAAAAGTATAACTCCTTTAAAGGCATGTAATATGGGGGGTGCCACAGGGCTCGATTTTAGGGCCACTGCTTTTCTCTCTTTACATGAATGATCTCCCCTCTTTGTGCAATGTTAACATAGTTAGCTGATGATACTGTATTATTTTATCATGGTAGAACCACAGAACAAGTTGCTCAAAAGCTAACAAGAACTGCAGAAATTTTCTATATGGTTAAAAACRTCAGGTTTAACTTTAAACATTGAAAAGACTGTTTCAAGGTTTTTCACAAATTGATATAAGCTCCAAACTTGTCCTGATATTTTGATAGAAGGTAATAAATTAAAAAATGTTAGTGATTTAAAATATCTAGGTGTTTTATTGGAGTCAAATTTGGGCTTTAAAAAACATACAAAAAAGTTAAACACTGTAAAATTTAATTTAGTAAACTTTAGATACATAAGAAACTCATTGACAGTTGAGGCATCAAATACGTACGTATTTAAATATATTGATATTTCCACATTTCCTGTATTGTATGATAAGTTGGTCTCAGGGATGCAAAACTGCTTTACAGCCACTGGAGTCATTATATAAATGGGCTCTCAAAATCTATGAAAAGAAAAAAGTTGTTTCATCATTGCCATATTCTTGCCAAGTATAACATTCTTAGTTTTGAGAATTTAATTAAATACACAAATGTGTCTGCTTTTTGAGATTATTCATGGTTCCGCTGCACCACCTTTAAAAATATTTGCATCCTTCAGGTCTGGCAAAACATCTTGAATCACTCGTTCAACTATTCGTTGTGAATGTTTTGTTCACAAAGGTAAAACATTTTTTGGTAAATCAGTTTTTTCAAGTATTGCCATACAACAGTGGAATACTTTGCCAACAGAACTACTGATGTACAAACTTTCATAAATTTTCATGCATGACAAAACAATGGCCTCTCTTAAATCAAACCTGTTCTCATAATGTAAACTGATGTGATTTATCTTATTTTCCTGATTTTGAGAGTATGTAGGTGATTACTTGTGCTTTGGATATTGTAGGTACTGTATGTTTATCTGCCTGAAATGATTTACATTTTTACTGAGTGGTCAGTCTCTTTTAATGTGTTTTTAATAAGTGAGTTGGTGCCTATGATGACATTTTTTGGGAGTATGGATATTATGAATTTATTTTATATTGACTGGGATTGTATGCTCTTGTATTGTATACTTATGGTGTTTTTTTTAATTATGTTTTTTGTTTGAATAGTTTCCAGCTGCTCTTACTTTATCTTTTATTATATTTACGTTTATAATATTGTGTTGGCTGGATCAGGGACTACAGGTGGAAATCAGCACCTAGAGCTATAACTTGATATAAAGCATCTTTCCTTTCATGGCTAATGTATACTGTATACAGCGGGTAAAATAAGTATTGAACACGTCACCATTTTTCTCAGTAAATATATTACTAGAGGGGCTAATGACATGAAATTTTCACC